AAAAAAAAAAAAAAAAAACATCCTCATAAAGGGTGTAGGAAGGGGATGGGTTTAGCTCCTTTTCTCAAATGCAGAACCCGAGGGTCTAAGCCACCTGCCAATGGCTGCACAGCTTGTAGCTGACACAGCATGACTTGACTTGAGAGCCACGCTACCCCTGCCCCACGGGCTGTGTCCTCTGTGGCCTTGGAAGGAGGCCGTTAGGGAGCAGTGGCCGGGCAGGAAGTGGGACAGGGCTGCGCGGGAGGGAGGAGCTGTTTGCTGTCTGTGTGGGGAAGAACGGCAGGGGGTTGGCAGGGACCAAAGTCCCCCAACCGCAGGCGGTGGGTGCGCGAGGTGCACCGGCAGCCACAGAGCACCTTCTCCAGCCTTGGGTCTTGGGCCCCATGATGCCAAAATGGTTTAGCTTCTCATAAAATCAGAACAAAAAAGACTTTCAGGTTGAAGAAGAAATTTTTTCAGTATTAGGGATCCAGTCTATGTCCCGGGACCCTTAGTTCCCATTTGAAAAATGGGACGTGAATTATAATTGTATCGAGAATTTATGAGCTTATAATGACGAGGGTCAGAGGAAGGGCTTGGGAAAGGGAAAACAGCCCTCAAGAGGCCCCACGTCAGGGGATAAGGTCAGAGGGGCAAGAAGGGAATTCCACTTATTTTCTTTTCTAGTTTTATTTTTTTGTTTTGTTTTTAAGAATCTTTCATTGATGTAAGAAAAACACACAAATCTTAAACATGATCATGTTCCCATTTTCATTCTTTTCAAATCAGGCATGATAGGGCACGCCTTTAATCGCAGCGCTTGGGAGGCTGAGGCAGGAGGATTGCAAATTAGCAATCAGCCTGGGCAATTTAGTCAGACCCTGTGTCAACGATAACAACAGCAGCAACAACACGAACACATACTTTTGAAACCAATGAACTAAACCCTTTTTACTTGGTCCACTGTCCAAACGCTTTATGATGAGCTGGTAGCACAAATATAATTTTAAAAATATCACCTCAAAAGTTGCAGTTTTGGTCGAGTGGCGTTTCTGTCTCCGAAACGCTTTCAAAATCCTTATCTTTGCCTTGCTCTGGGAGAAAGGTTGAGAAAAGATTCATTTCCTTGTAAGTGCAATAAGGAAGTTATGCTTTCTTTGGGGCTGCCCTGCTGTGAAGGTGGCGCTCCACGTGAGCACCGGGCATGGAGCCACCTCCAGAGCCTGCCCCAGCACCCCACCCAGAGCGCCCCACACCCCAACGCTGGCGGAGGCCCCCGCGGCCAGCCAAACCCAGAGCACTCACGGCACTCGCTCCAGACCTCTCCTTCCTGCCCTATTTAAATTGCCAGGATTCGGCTGGGCTTCGTGGGCAGAGATTTCGTACAGCAGTCTGATTTTAGTGAAAATTGAGAATTAATGTAAGGGTTCAGCAGCAGGAAATTGGCTCGGTATATTCAGCCGCTGGAAGGTAGAATGTTTCACAGCCACTGAAATGTATCTCTGAAATACAGACCTGTGGGCCTCAGTGTCTCTGCAATGAAGCAGGATTGAACACTTGCAGATGGAGAGATGTTTATTACATAAGTTCGTAGAAAACCGCTGGGAAGGAAGTGCGCCAAGACAGGGAGGAGGTTTGCGCTGTCCTGGTGGTGGGGTATGCAGGACGGCTTTCCTTCTTATCTGACGTCTCTGTCTACAGTGAGAATGTTAATGATAATGCACAACCAGGAAAACAGTGGAGTGAACGGAGAAGAAAAGATTCTTCCGATGACTCATGATATCATAGAAAATTAGAAGCTTGGACATTTAAAATTTTTACTTTTTAAAGTAAATTTTATTTTTGTTTCATCCCATTCCCCCCTCAAGCCCTCCCTCTCCCTAGGTACAAAAACTTTGTTTCCATTTTTCTTCTATTTCAGTGTTTTCTTGCCCCTTCCTTCCTCTCTCTCCCTCCTCCCTTGTTCCCCTTGCTATTTGAACACTTTCTTCCCACTTCCCAGCATCCATTCTACATCTCCTTCTTTATTGCCACATTCAGTTTCTTACACCAGACAAACAATGGGATAAACATATGTGTCTGATTTATTTCACTTAAGAGTGTGGTCTCAAGGTTCATCTGTGTAGCTAGAAATATCTTGAAGCACATCCTTCTTTATGGCCAAGTAGTACTCCATCGTAGAAAATAAACACATCTGTATCCACTCTTCAATTGATGGGCATTTGGGCTGTTTTCAAGATTTAGCTATTACAAACTGTGCAGCTATAAAAATGGATGAGCAGAGCTGGATGTGATGGCGCACGCCTGTAATCCCAACACTCGGGAGGCTGAGGCAGGAGGCTCGCTGTGAGTTCGAGACCAGCCTGGGCTGCATAGTGAGTTCCAGGTCATTCTCAACTACATGATGAGACCCTTCTCAAAAACAAACAAAAAAGGGGGTGTGCACATATATCACTGTGGTATGATGCTTTTAATTCTTTTGGGAAGATACCAAGAAGACATACAGCTCGGTCAAAAGGAACCTTTAGTTTTAGTTCTTTGAGAAATCTCCACACTGATTTCCACAGTGGTTGCACCAGTCTGCGCGCTCACCAACAGTGGAGAAGGGGTCCTTTTTCCCCACAGCCCCTCCAGGGTTATTGGTTGATTTCTTGAGAGCAGCCATTCTTTCTGGGGGTGAGGTGGGATCTCAGCGTTGTTTTCATGAGAGGTTTGGATCTTGTAACACAGTGAGCCTCTTTTTGTAGTTGAGCCAGGCTCAGGCCAGGAAATCTCAGGCTCCTGGGTTTCCGTTCGTTTGTGTGTGGGAGGTGGAGCTCTGGAGACCTGAGGGGGAGGCGGGAGGATGGGCCCAGCTGGGCGGGCACAGGTGAGGCATCATCCATCTGTTTGGTCCCCTTCCCTGGAGAGGCAGGAGGGAACGCTGGGTCCCAGGGGCCAGAGTCCTTATTTCTGGCCGGGTGGAGTTAATCAGTAATACTCTGCTGTACGCTCATCCTGATCAGGACCCTGAGCACAGAGCTGCCACCATGTCGGTAAGAACACAACCTCCACCACCTCTCGCATCCCATCTGCGTCTTTGCCTGGCTGGGGTGGGCTGGGGTTGCTGCCCTGATCTGGGTCACAGTCCCCCCCCCCCCCGG